TTTGTATTAATGAGATCATGAGCTAACCTAACCTAACCTATCCGAGGACACCTGAAGAAGATACCTGCTAGAGGAACAAAAAAACAGGTAAGAAATTAACAGGTAATGAGATATAGTCAAGCCAATACATACAGGTACACAGAAGTAAGGGAGGAGCGTGTGAGAAAGAACAAGATACGGATCAGGAGAGTAATAATCACGAAACACAGCAAGACGTGAAAGTAAAGAAGAACCAGACTAAACCTAACCTAACCTAACCTAATGTCACTTACCTTACATTAACCCCGACATAAACCCAACACCTTATTAGTAACAGTCAAGAGTTTAGGGAAGAAAAAACCTGGAGACTTAGCCAAGACACCGAGGGAAGGGGGGGGGGTGGTGGTTGGTCACTCGCTCTTTACAGTATATCACGGAGGACGACTGAGAATCTGTACCCAAGACAAGAGAAATTAAGGGTGAAATAGATAGATAGATAGATAGATATTAAGTACAATCGCTATACAAGTTCAAGATGTAATGTAGACAATGAAGGTACAGTATAGAGTCTAAGCTTCATGTAGTCTATGTAGTTAAGATGTCGATAAAAAAAACGTAGTAGATTGTTTACTCGATATCACACAATTAACAGAGGCGAGGTTTTCCCCGCTAAGATATGGGCCATAACTCAGGGGAATAACATGAGCTAGACTTTCATTATACCAAGTTGCTTACCAAATATCGTATCGATCAGGGAAACCTTTTTCAAGTTACTGACTGACAAATGGCAGGGAGGGACAGGGGTAACACGACAGGTATAGGTCTCTTGTATCCTAGGGCGAGGCATAACATGCCACTTGAGGTATTACTAATAAAACTTGGAGCAACAAAGAGCAACAAAGGCCAACCTAAGTCAGCTGTCGTGCACCGTGCACTATGTTTAGGCGGAAGTCAGACACGCATCGTTGTTTGTCCTTAAAAGGCTAACTTAAGTATCGACTTGCGCAAATAAGGATGGTGGCAGCGGCAATACTACCATGGTGATGTTTAACACTCATTGATACTCACTCAGGGTAATATGGATTTACTAATAACCTGCAGAGGATAATCGTTCAAAGAGTTTGTGTCGCCACTCTTACAACAATTGATTACTCCGAGACGTAATTTGCTATTTGCTTCTACTTTATATTTGAAATACTTGATATGCATTTTGCACACGCACATACGTTCTCACACACACACACACACACACACACACACACATATATATATATATATATATATATATATATATATATATATATATATATATATATATATATATATATATATATATATATATATATATATATATATATATATATATATATATATATATAACGCTCACGAGGCAAATTAATATCATTTAAAATAAAATAAAAATCACGATGTGTTTCTCTTTCTTATACACAACTCTTCTATTTATACTATTTTTTTCTTGGTGAATTAAGGTGTGTTGGGCAGAGTTAAGCAGCGAGCGTGGCTGAGTGTATCTTGGGCAAACACGGCCAACAAGGGTCACCTGGGACATAAGGATGAATAAGTAATGATGCCCCATCACGACACTGGCCGCAGCCTTAATGATCGTAATATGCAAAACACCCATCATATATAATGAGAGTATTCGCTACACATCCAGCACTTACGGCTCCCCTTCTCTCACCACAACGCAAAGTGGTTTTAAATAATTCTTACAACTGCCGATGAAAACTATATATGTACACTATATAATTTTTTCCCTACAACTGGAAATTCGCTTTGATGGTCGAGGGTGTTGCACCTTTAACCGTGAAGAGCATTATGTTAATTATTGTGTGTTACAGTTGGCCCTCCGGCAGTCGCACACATGTATATAACCGCCGCTAATTATTTAGTGTGAGAAGACTTTATAATCATTACAAGAAAATATTAATAAAGATGAGTCACAGAAACAACGACAAAGGGGATAATTTTTTCCTTTGTGCCCTAAGGTATTAACCCCAAACATCCCAAGTCATTTAATTACCGGCTGTACTTAGTGTAAGAATAAATGTTAAAAGTAAAGAGTTTTAATACTAAGGATGTGTCTTATAGGCGTCCTCAACTCCTTTATATATATATATATATATATATATATATATATATATATATATATATATATATATATATATATATATATATATATATATATATATATATATATATATATATATATATACAGTATATGTGTGTGTGTGTGTGTGTGTGTGTGTGTGTGATGCAGGCACTGTTTCTACAACAACTTCGAAAATAATACACCCATAATAACGTAGCAGTTTATTCAGTTATAAGATAATATTGTCATATTCGTATACTTTCGTGAACAAGATCTATGGATCTATATGTTGTTAATGACATGAATTTTTATTCATTTGAGGGAGAATCAGTGAATATTGCCTGTGGGTGTGACCAGGTTGACCCGCCCTTGACGCCCCCACGACGCTCAGTTCCCTCCACCTCCGCCCTGCCCCATATACGTCAGCCCTAGTGGCCACATCAGCGGCTCCTGCACCCACCTCTACAGCCACTACCGGAGCTCTCTCTCTCTCTCTTTCTCTCTCTCTCTCTCCGTCCCCGCCCCGGGCACTCCAACACGCGAGGCTGTCCTTATCCCGGCCAATAATTCTGCAAGGAAGTCTGCCAGGTATTGAGGCTGCGGCAAGGGATCTACCTGGGCCGCAGGCGGTTCTCGACCTTCCCCCAGCCCCCACTCTGCAGTCGCGCCGCCTACTGCTGCTGCTCACTCCCTCATTACTGCCGCCACCCCACCACCGCACGATTGGCAGGTCGGACTAGGTGATTAGGTGACTGGGCCGAGTGGTGAAGGGTTTAATAATACTAAAATACCTTGCATCGTATTCTCATTCCTCCGTATCTCTTCGTTCACAATACCTGAAAACGCTTTTAAGCATAACTAAATACACACAATTTAGTTTTGGGATACAAGTTATTTAGTCCAAAAAGCTTTAATTAGCTTCCTTTACGATCCAATAAAAACATTAACTAAGTCAATGAGGAATATCTAAGTCCATGTTGAGGCGACGGAGACACAGTCGGTGCCTAACACTCGCTCTCTGTTATGAGGCAACGGTGAGACGTGTGATGGGGAGGTGTGTTGTGGTTAAGATATCCAAGTTTCCCTAAGTCACCAACACGATGCATCAGCAACTTCAAAGCAGCATATTTTGTCCTTGTACCAGAGCACTGGGCCCCAGCACCTCCCACACGCCCCTGTGAGGTACGGACATCTTCGAGGATATCTGCGGAGGCGAGGAAACACATTCCCTTATGCTATGTGTGGTGAGACAAGAACTCTGATGTAGCACATTTAAGGACGTGCTGGAAACAACACATGGAGTGTAATTCCTAGATACGCATGAACCAGTCATTATGCAAACCACAAAGTAGTGTAGCGTAGCAGTGGGGGTCTGCCCTCTCGCCCTCGCCAGCGGCCGCTCCCTATAATATCCCTTTATTGCTTAATGTTAGCCTTCCGTGAAACACGCTAATTGTAGCTTACATGACTATAGCTGGGTGTCAGGTGCCTAGTTAGTAGCAGTTGGTAGAAAGAACGACTTAGAATAATGATCAGTTGAGACAAGACAAGAGGATATCGTATACTTTGGTTACATCACAGCACTCCTGCGGACCACTGCTGCCCCCCCCCCTTCCCATCACGCCCACTTATTGATATAATATTATGGTTATCACGCCAGGATAGCATGAAGGCACTTGTTTACTATCCATATCTACATAACTAGGGCAGAGGTTAGCCGAGTTACTGAACATACCCAAACCACGACGGAGTAAAAAAGGTCCAATAATTTACTCAGCATTTGCAATATTGATCAGACATCGGGCATTACTCAAACAAGATGCAACATAAGACAAAACATTACTGATCTTCATTTATAAAGACTGAACCAATAATACGGTTGAACTCTTATATTTCATATCGAACCGCGAACACTGGATCAATCCCCTGACGCGGCACTAGAGGCGGAAACGTGTGGGGACACAACCTACAACATTTGGTGTTTTGCCACATTATCACTGACTAGCACCTCGACGTCCTTAACGCCAACACTTAGAAAAAAGAAGAACAATGAAAATCGGGTACATATCCCGACTCGAAACCCGACACACTGCTTCCACATTCTCTAATCTCAAACATGCCCGGCCCTTGGGGGAAGAATTCACATTAAACCACTAAACCAGCAAGATCTTAATACCGGGTCGACTCTGGCCCCCATCAACATAACTCTCACCACTCACTCGACCAACTGAGATCTCACTTCTCGACACGATAAGTGGACGAGAGTCTACAGGTGGGTGGTGGCACAGCGCTGACACGGTCGTCTGGAGCACCTACCGTCACCGAGGTCGATGCTAACACTCAAGCTGGATTCAGAAAAGTCGAGTATGTGAGTCCTACGGTGACCGATGCCGCCGTCGCTAGCTAACACACACCCACGTGGCTTGAAGAACGGACTCGTCCCCGCGGTCCCCCACTGATGCAACAGCACCCTTGCTACTGCCCCACACTCCCTGCCTCACTCACTCTTAACCCTCCCACTACCCTCCGCCTCCTCCCCCTCCTCCTGCTGCCGCTCCTGCACCGCCTACCCTGGGATCACCCTGACTTAGTACCCGTAATTGGCTCCTTAGTCTACCTCCGACAGGACGCCCTAATAGTCACACAGGTGGGAATTTATCACAGTTCGTAGTCTACATTGCACCAGGTTTTATTGACACTACGTTTAATCCGTTCAGGCAGAAGCAACACATTTTAAATTTTTTATGTAAATGAAAAGGAAATAGAAGGTTATTGCACTGTTATCACTACACATACGACTGCTGGCTAGTAAGGATAAACACTACAAGAGCGCTAAGACAGTATAGCCACAAAACCAATAAACACAATACTAGATAATGAAAAACAAAATCAGATGACTGGCTGTTACCTCGGCTGGTCGAGGGGACGCGTGGGTGTAGTGGCCGTAGTGAGGTGTGGAAGGGCGTCTTACCTCGTCCAGGTTGGAGAAGAAGAGGTTACGGGGCACGGGAAAAGACGGGGGCGTGGCAGTCGAGTAGTGCATCTTCATAGCACTCATCACCCCTCCCTCAGGTGGTAATCACCTGCGGAGGTTAGTTTCCGCCTCTTATCTTTGATATAACCACTTGTCTAAATTCTCAATATACACTTTGGTTCTTGTTTACACACACAAAATCCTAAGTGTCCAACTGCCCCTCCGCGCAGATGATCCCAGGTGCCTTCTGCGCAACCACCTGTTTGTTTCTGGCACAGTCAGCTGGGTGCGCCTGGCAGAAGGTGAGAGGCGCGGGCCCAGGAAATTGTTGCAGGTGGTGTCGGGGGCTGGACACACTGGTGACGGCAGAGCACTGACCAACAGCTCACTTCTCAAACCTTGACTTCGGTAGGCAAGGAGCGGAGCTCGAAAGACAACACCCTTTCAACTTGTCTTTATAAGAGGCAGGTTTAGCACATTTAAAATAATTTTCCTTTCCATTTAAACAAATGTCCATATATACTGTATATATATATACGTAAATATATATTTCTTAACAAAATGAACCATATACATATAAATTTATTTTCTAAGAGTTAATGAGTTCTCATTAATAACAAACTTGGGCGGAATCCTTTTTATTTTCAACACAGGAATGGTTAGTGATATTCCAGACGGATGTGGTGGACGGGTGGATAGTTTCTCCAGGAGCGACACAGCTGGCCGTGGTGGCGGAGCAACAAGGCACAAGCTAGAAACTGCGGGGTGAGGCGGGCTAGTGGGTGGGAGTGCCCGCGGGAGAGTGGCGCCGGACAGAGGCAGGCCGCGGGTGGGTAGTATCACGCACGACAGCCAACGTGTGAGTGAGCGCCAGAGAGTGAGTGTGGCCGGGCCCACCACGCACGCTGTCTCCACTACCGCCATCACTACCACCACCACCACCGCTCCCGCCGCCGCTCCTCCTGCCGAACGTGCGTGCGTGTGTGGCTTGCGGAGGTCGGCCAGTCCTCAGAAGTCTCGTCGCCGCGGCGTCGCAGTCCAAGGCTCTCCTCCCTGCCGACAACCACCTCACTTCTTTGTCCTGCTTCTTCCCTCCCCGCCTCCTGCAGTTGTCACCAGGCCTATTGCCACCCATCATTACCACCACCCCCAGTGCCACACCACCATCGTCACTACCATCATACTTACCACTACATAAATCGACGTAGTGTTCTCCAAACCACCACCACGAGAGTTGGTAACGACCCAACCACCACTCCATCACCTTACACGATAGTCCACCAAGACGATAGTTAGTCCACACACACACACAAACGTAGTGACATTAGCACAGTGAGTTTAAATGTGCCCTTTTGTTGCTAATGTATGTATGTATGTATGTATGTATGTATAAACACTAAAACACGATATGGTTGGTCACTGCCACAAGGGTGTATGAAGTATGGATGAGTGGATGAATCATACTGAATCAATATGTATTATAAACAGGACGTGAATAAGTGTGAATACCGATCGATTTGTGACACTCCAAACCATGAATTAGTCAGAGTGAATAAGTGAATGTTGGGAGTACGTGTGAATGTTGGGAGTACGTGTGAATGTTGGGAGTAAGTGTGAATGAAAGAGAATGAAAAAAAGACGAGAATGAATGAATGAAAGAAGAAATTTGTAGTGATGAATATGCCTAAGAGACTCTCAGTGTTGTTGTAACTGAGTGAGAACTGGTGAGGGAGTGTGTGGGAGGGTGGGGGAGTGTGTGGGAGGGAGAAGGGGATGTGTGGGGAAGTGTGTGGGAGGGTGAGGGTGTTTGAGAAGGAGGTGGGGGGTGGGGAGGGGGGAGGGTGAAGGGAGGGGAGCGGGAGGGGGGCGTGGGAGGGTAAGAAGGGGAGGGGTGAGGGGGGCGGTGGGGGTGAGAGGGGGCGTAGTGGGAGGGTGAGGGGGGCGAAGGGAGGGTGAGGGGGGTGTGGGAGGTGAGGGGAGTGTGTGAGAGGGGAGGGGTGTTTGAGTGAAGGAGTGGGGGGTGATGGAGTGTGGAGGTGAAGGGGAGGGAACGTGTGGGAGGGGGAGCGTGGGAGGGTGGGCGTGGGGAGGGTGAGGGGGCGTGGGAGGTGAGGGAGACTACTACTACTACTACTAATAATAATCGATTCAAATTATACTATGAACAGGTAAGACATAAAAACACCTGGTGATATTGATGAATGGGTGGGTCATTTAACAAAGCTTTCAGTACCCCCAAAAAAAAAGGGAGGAAACACGGGGTACAAGTTAACTGGAGTAAGATAGTGGGGGGGGGGAAAGTTGCTGGTGTGCTGTGATGTCGACCAGCTATACGTGGACGAATGTGTGGATGTTGGAATAAGAGACTGCGCGGTTGTGGATCTTGTGGTTGTGGGTGATGTGGTGTGGGACAGCGTGGTTGTGGGTGTTGAGCTGAAGGAGTGTGTGGATTAGTGGTGAGGAAGTGCGTGGGTGGAGGTGTGTGTCTCAGCATGTACATATGTGTGTGTGTGTGTGTGTGTGTGTGTGTGTGTGGCAACGCACGAAGGTTCACCAAACACCTGGCCTCCCTCTCACTTAACCACTACTATAATTCCCAACTAAAACACACACACACGACCACCCCCTATACATGCACACGACACCCTCCCACACATACGAACACCCCCCCACACACACGAACACCACCCACACACACGAACACCCACCACACACACGCACACGAACACCCCCTGTCCCCCCCACCCCCACACAAGATAATGGCCCCCCAAACATACCAGGCCCCAATTAGTATCATAGGTAAAAACGTGTTGGACTTTTGCTTAATAAATCAATATCACTGTAGAGTCACTCACAGCCTTGGTAACTCAGGTAAGCGAGCACTTACTTACTGCAGGTAGCCACCATCCTTTCGCCTCCTGGACACATACCTGGAAGAAATAAAGAACAATTAATTTATTCTGTTTCGTTATGGGAAATGTTTAATAATAATAATAATAATAATAATAATAATAATAATAATAATAATAATAATAATAATAATAATAATAATAATAATAATAATAATTATAACATATAATCAAGGGTAAGACGGCTTTTGTTTGTTTGTTTGGTTAGGTCTCGTGCTAAAAGTTGTCCCTCATTTTGTACTCTCTCTCTCTCTCTCTCTCTCTCGTTTTTTCCTATGAATTTTAGTTTTTATTTTGTCTTTTTTTTCCATTATAAGTTGTCCTTCATGCTTACGTATGTCTCAAACGAACATCTACCAATTATCTCTCTAAGTTTCCTACTCACTGTACACTTATACGTCTGTCCACACTTTTTCCTCATTTTTTCCTTCTACATTTAGTTCGTACAAGAAGAACTTGCTAAATGGATTCAGGAGTTTATTTCCCATACATATTATTCCTAAATTTCTTATATCCACCCCCCCCCCCAACTCCAAGCTTATTTTTTTCCTTATTTACCGATTTTATTTTTAAACGCTTATCTTCCATCTTCTTTGAGGTTTTTTCTTCGTGTGTTTAAATCTGGAGTTTTATTTTTATTTTTTGGTTATATTGTTAATTTTCTACTTTACCTAAACGTCTCCTTCGTGGTCTGTTAAATGTCTTAACTTGATTTTATCCTTTAATGTGTCACTTTAAGTAATTAAGGTTTAAGGCTGGAAATTTTAGGTAAGCCATCTCACTATTTTTTTTTAGATTTAAGTAATTAGTTTACAATATGTGAAAGGGTGAATAATAATAATAATAATAATAATAATAATAATGATAATAATAATAATAATAATAATAATAATAATAGTAATAAAATATGAGAGAGACACACAAACATACACTTAGGGGGGTGGCTTCAGCTATGACGTCACCACACACACACACACACACACACACACACTGCAACAAAACACACACACACACACACACACACACACACACACACTAACACCACCACACACACACACACACACACACACACACACACACACACACACACACAACAATAATAATATCAATACTAGGACACTGCAGCAACAACATTCTCCTCCACCATTTCCCCTTCCTCCTTCCCACCCCTCTTACTTAACCCCCTTTTTTCCTCCTTCCCTCTCCCAATCTCCTCTCTCCCCCCCATACCCTCCTCTTCCCCTCCCTCTCTCTCTCCTTCCTTTCTCTACCTCCTCTCCCTCCCATCACCCTCCCACTCTCCCCCACCATATCTCCAGACCTGGATTTCCCCACCTGCCCCTCGAGAACTCTCCCAATTCTCCCGAAAGGATTCTCAACTGCTCATATGAGGAAGGAATTTACGAAAACGGATACATAATTGCCTGATGAAAGTAACTATCTTACAATATAAAAAAGTAGTTCTCTTTACAGGTCAAATCACCATCCAATTGTGTAATATATACTTCACTATCATGGCACAAGTCACTATCATGGCACAAGTCACTATCCCCTTCAATTAAGTACAGGGACCTGGATAACTTTAACACAAGACACGGTAATAAAAATAAAAAAAATGTCATTAATATTACACGGTGACTTTAACCGCACCTAAGATGAGTTTGGTTACAGTTACAGGAAATGAAGTACGAATGTCTGTGAGTCTTGGAAGTGTGAGCTAAGTGACGGTTTAGGGGATGTGTGTGTAGATGTGTAAGTCGATAAGTGATTTAGGTGTGTGTGTGTGTGTGTGTGTGTGTGTGTGTGTGTGTGTGTGTGAGAGAGAGAGAGAGAGAGACAGACTGAGATATACGAGCACAGAACCACAGACCCCCTCACGAAAAAGCAATTATCCATTTAACAGAAGCATTAAAATCTTACACCACATTTACACCACACAATAATGTATTTTAATCTAAATGCTATGAGAATTTTTCAAGGATATTATAACCGCGTAATCAACACTGAGGTTTAAAAAAAATAAAAAATAAAAATAAATAATGTTTCCTGAGCGACACGAGAACCACCACAACCAAGACACAATCAGTTTACAAGATAGAGATAAAAAACCGTAATTTAAACCTGGGGTATTTTCTAGTCTCTTCTCGGTCTAACTGTAAAATATATTAAAGAGTAAGACTGAACATTTTATAACTTAAAAAAATATAAATAAAAAATTGTCATGTGATTTTTGGGCCAAGTTAAATTTAAAATATTCTAGATGGGGTTATTAATAAGAATTTAAATATGTATATAAAATAGAAATAAATTTTACCTGTTTATGGTTTTTTCTTGGGTGAAGTTACATACTTTATGAATAGAATTGATAGGAATAATTTTTTCTCAGGTGAATAATGATTACTGTAACCACCACTACCCATGCTCCTGGTGAACTGTAGTTGTCAGTGATACCAAGAATACAGGAGAGACACATGTAACCATAATGACTGTACCAAATATCCATCTCCATCAACTTTCGTGGTAAACAACATGTCAGGATCTCCAAGGACAAGAATTCCAAAAAGGTTAAAAGAAAAAGGAAAAAAAAAAGAAATGAAAAAAAGTGACGCGAGACGACTTGACATTTAATACTTGTTTTTTATTCCCTTTACATGTTGTGGTCGTATGATTGAGTCTTAGGAGAAGATACACACACACACACACACACACACACACACATGTTAAGCTACCTGATATAAAACTCTTTTCTAAGCTGAATATTAAGACTGCCTAGGATGACCTGAGTTGCCACAGCAGATGTAAAGAAGGAGAAGAGCAGAAGGAAGGTGAGAGGAGAAGCAGGAGGGTGAGAGGAGAAGGAGGAAGGTGAGAAGAGCAGAAGGAAGGTGAGAGGAGCAGAAGGAAGATGAGAGAAGCAGAAGGAAGGTGAGAGGAGCAGAAGGAGGGTGAGAGGAGAAGGAGG